TATTTTTATAATTGCTTGCTCTCCACCATTTGGGGGCATCTAAAGAATAACCCACGAAGGCTTTTTGTGTGGAGTAAATTGAAAACTCACATAAGGAAAAGGTGTGTCTGCAGGCTTGGGCTCGGATTAAAGCACACCCTAAAGTATGCCTTTTAAGGAATGCAACAATGGCACAGGACATTTTTGGCTAGCCAGACAGCAAATTTGATACTCAAAGCAAAGGACATGAGGTCAAAGATGAGTAAGAGAAATGCGCTTTGTGGTGGTGTTGTCTCATATGCGGGCTCACCTTTCGTTTGCTTGTATGCAAATATTGAAAACTCAGGAGAATTTACTCAATTTGGGGATAAGCCCCTGTGCTCCTTAAATTATGGACAGTGCTATAAATTAAATCAATTGGACTATTACGAGTAGGGACCTCTTCGGATTCAATTCAAAGAAAAACGCCACTTCCTGTTAGAATAAATGATATGATGCCATATCATACCATAAGTGCACATCAAATTATTATAAAAGATACCCAGTAGAACAGAACAACAGCCACAAGGAGAATCAGAAGTCAACGGTCCATAAAAATATATTCCAATAAAATGAGCTCGCAAGGACCGGCAGCAGCCATATGAAGCATCAATATACCGAAAGCAATAAAGCGAAATGGCCATCGAATGGGTGCGGATGGCGATGGGAATGGGGGGCATGGGGGGGTTGGGGCACCGGGCAGAGCGCTGCAATAACGCTGCACTTGACAAGGACAGGGCCAAGGGGTGTCATTCACGATTTCAATATTGCAGCGAGGGTACATCAGATATCACAGAAATCACTCACAAATTTTATTGAGCTCATTCTTATGAAAATCATACAAAAGATTTGAAACAGTTTATTTAATATGATAATAAGTAAACTATATTGTATTTTTAAGTTGTTTCTGTCATTAGCCAATTAACTTATTAAAGGGAATTTCGATTTAAGGCACGCTGGAGCCATCGAAAACATCACTTGCAATGGCAGCCCCCCCTATGGCTTTCTGGTCTGCCAGTCAGTCCATCAGTCCATCAGTCCACCTGTCAGGTAGTCAACCAGCCAGTCGGTCGTTCCGATCCCACATGGCCTGCACGAAATTCCGGTTGCACCAAACGGAAATTGCATTTACACGCTTGCCTGCCAGGAACATGTTTGTGAACGGATGGGCCCACAACCAGCTCCAGGTCCACGTCCAGGTTCACGTTGGGTAGTCAGGGCAAGTTCTCGATTTGTGGGTGATTTCTGATTACAATAAGCAACCCCACAGCGCCGCTCCGTGCCCCTTAAAATTCCATATACGCAAACAAACACAACGATATGAAAGGTATCCAAATATAGAAGGGGAGGAAGCGAAATCCGTGCTGCGAACCTCTGGAACTTTTCCATCCTGGCCAGGGGCTATGATAGCCCTAATCACTTACTCCAGAGGACGTGATAAGCAAGCAAAGCCACAGAATGTGGGGCTTGTGAGGCATTTGAATCCTCTAAATTGCCAGATGTGGTGAATGTCATACATTTGCGGACTTTTGGGATGTTTGACGGCTGCATTTTAGCATTTCTTTGAACGTTTATTCAAATTTTCCATACCCCGGCTTGGACTTTCGGTCCAATCCGTCCAGTTCGTCCCAAGTTTGTTTAAGCCACGCCCACACGCACAAAACTTAGCCAGAGGCAAAAATCTAAATCGAAAAGCTGGCCAACAGCCATCGAGAAATAGTTTCCTGACACATTATCAAAGCAAACTATAAAAGCCTGTAAAGTGCACGTAGATATATGTATTTTCGAACTGCAAACAAACAGAACCAACACAAAGACAAATCCCAAATACACACACAAATACACAAGTTCAGATACCCCAAAGATTAATCGACGGGAATTCAAGTGGGGCGGGGAGCCGAATTCAAATAATTTGCGGCCAACTGAACAAACAGACCAAAACCAGACCGCCAGCTACTCGTAAGATAATGCAAGTGGGCCTGTCGAAGGGTGGGGGACGGGGACAGGGAGGGAACAAAAACCGAAAACTTGCTCCGAAAAAGTTTTCTCAAAAATGTTCCAAGCTAGACTGGTGGTCTGTGGTGACGGCCAGCAGAGAGGAAGGAAAGGAGGCTAGGAAGGACGAGGCAATAAAACAAATCATATCATACATCAAAGCGCAAACGGAGCGTATGACGACAGCCCCTGGCAGCTCCTGCAGCCAAGTCACCCAAGGTGGAAGGCAGATTATATCAGACAACAGCTGTCGGTCGGCCTGATGGACAAAGTTTGGCAACAAGTTCAATTACTTTTCACCTGTCCAAAAAAAGCCAAGCAAACAAACAATTTTCATTAAAGCCTCTGCTGTCACGTGGTTTGTCCTTTCTCCTCTGAAACTTTGTATATTCAGTTGTGGAAAGGAGTTGGTTCTCAGTTAAGGTAAATGTCTGACAAATAAAGTTGTTAATTGTTTGCATGCATCTACTATGCTCGTATATGGGTATGTTCCTGGAGGTGGTCTCAGCGGTCACACCTACATGTATGTTTCAGTTAGATTCGTATGCCTTTAATGCATTTCAAAGATTTTCCTCACCTTGGCATACCTCTTAATCGAACTTAATTTTCCCGTTCGCATTTCACATCCCGAGCCCAAAATACTCAAACAATGTAATCGTAATTGAACTCAAGCTCAGTGCAAACAGAGTTTAACATATTTGCTAATGGCCTGGCTGATGGTAAGAAAGAGGGTGAAGGTGAGGGGGATGGGTATAGGGATAGGGATGGAACTCTAGATCGCTCTCCGGGAATTGATTTGCGAACGGGGGCGAAACTAATCCACCGCCAATATCCCAGTGTCAATTGGAAATTAAGCCATGCCAAGTGAAATGTCGCAGCGACCTGCAGTAAATTGCTGGAAAAACGTTTTTGGTAAATTAAGGCCAACATTCCAACAATAGCAGCAGTGAAAGCCACCGCCAAGGACGCGGATCGGGCCAAAAAGGAAATTGAATTGCATTCCAAATGCATTTGTCGTATCTGCAAATAGCGATGTGGATGTAGATGGGCGATTGGGGATTGGGGATGGGGATGTCGCTTACCTGCAGCTTTGGTCTGATAGGGCAAGTGAGTTTATGGATTTCCCAAGAAGTTACGACGGCTTAAAGGCAAGCCCCATGGCGCTTTGGTGAAAGATATCTTTAAGCTGGTTAATATTGAGGTGCATAGATATTCATTTGAGGCACAACTAAGAGTATTTCACGGACTGTGAAATCGCAGAATCTCGGCATCTTCCTTCATCTCCACTTTGCCAGCCAAGCCCCCCATTTGCATTTGATAGTTTACCTAAAACATACTCGCATAATCAGCTTTAACTTTATCGCCTGACTCGACGTTTATGGCCTGCTGTAAGCCGCCCCTAGGTCAAAGTTAACCGAGTCAACAACCGAGTTAACTTGAGAAGTTAGTGGAGGTGCAGGCTGGATGCCGGCTTGCAGGCAAAGGGCAAGAGTTTCGCATAAAAATGTTGGTTTTTCTTTTCTCTCTCTCCCGCCTAAAACTGTTTATCCTGAAAAACGAAGTTGGCAGTGCGAGTTCTCGGGAGTGGTGTTGCTTGGCTCTGGGTGAGGGGTGTGGGGTGTGGGCGATGTTGCATCCGGATGTTGCCCGCTTTGCATATTAAAAGCGCTGCAGGCGCACTTTTGCGGCTAGAGGAAGCAGCGGGATCCGATAACCTCAAGATATTCTATGTAAATTGGGTTTGCTTTTGTCGATGCAACAATGGCAAGAGTCTGTTCCTTGTACCTGTGGAGGGAGTGTCCTAATGTGAAATCGTTAAAGCTGCAGCTTGAAGGAACAGATAAAACATCAACTGAATCCAATCAGGGCAAGACATGAGGCAAGCCACAGGCACAATCAAGTGGCAAGCGGCTTCATGGGGGTTCATTAAATTGTTAATGTGGTTCTGGTTTTTCCCCAACCCCCACCAGGAAGCCCAAGAGACAGACTGTCGAACCAATTGAGCTAGAAAAATTGAACTGGTCCAATAAAAGAAAAGGAAAACCGGAATAAACACCAGATGAAGTCGAAGCCATCGATACCTCGGTAAAACCATAGTCAAATATATACTATACCAGCTGATCCGACTCATTAGGATCGGATCTGTAGAATCTATCCATTCATAAGTTCGGGTACCTCAAATAATGATTCTGCTCCTGATTCTCACATTTGATAGGGTACAAAGATATACAACGTGTATAAATCACAGATTTGTACGATATCTAAAGACAGATGCACATACACATGCTCGTACATACATGTGTATGCATGTACATACATGTATGGACACATGTACTGGTCTCTATCCCCTGCGGGGCCCTGTGCAAGCGAGGAATAATTGAATTTCAAGTGAAGCGGCTCCTGCTGGCGGTTATGAAATTTCTGACTTGTCTTCCGCTGCCGGGGAGCGGAAATAAAAGCAAAACGCTAACGGTACGGTTACCGTTACGTTGCCACTGAAATCAGGATACAAGTGTGCGTGCGTGTGGGGTCCTAGGGTGGATCAGGACACCACGAACACATGTTTCCATTGCTGGCAACCCCGGCAATGAATTTGTGTTTCCATCTCGCTGACTTCACCATGATGGTTAACCGCATCGTTGATTTGAGGGCGTGGAGTGTCATTATATATTTATTTTGTTTTTCGGATCTTCTGCGTTCTTTGACGCGCCGAGACAATTAAAAATGGGCAACTCAACTTATTTGCATGTCATGAAGGAAGGAAGGAAGGAAGAAATTGATTTCTTCATGAACAACACACATATGTACATAATCGTATGTCTTTGAATTGCTAAATAAGATGCTTAATATGCTTATATGCGATTTCTAATCGCTCAACATTAAGAAACGGTCTTTGGCTTCCCAGTAAATGTACATTTGAAGTCTCCAACTGAATAAAAATATATATATTTCTATACGAATTATATTTTACATAATATTTAGAGCGATCGGTCCACACACACAATATCTTATCGCTGTCAATAAATGTTTTCCTAATACATTCTGTAAATCATAGTTTAACATAAGTTTTTTTTCCTAGACTTTGCATAATTTTACAAGCAGCACGTGATAATCTCTGAGATTTTGTACCAAATTTCTTGTGTCGCCCTATTTTGAGATTAAGAAATCCGTAATAAACTTATTGGAGGAAACTGAATATTACAAAATTATGTTGCAACTGTTTAATTATTTTCAGAAATGCAGATGCAGGTCGTGAAATAGGAGTACAATGCTATATAATATACGGTTTACGGATTAATTTGGGAATCTATTTAAAATGTAAGTGTAATGAGAACATATGCTATAATCATAAATACGAGAAAGAGTATTGTTGCAGCTTAATTGCTGAGCCCAGCAACCAAACGTTTCCACATAAGATATCTTTTAGTTTAGCTTTAAATAAGAACAACAGGAACGTCGAAAGGTGTCACTCGCCAGCCAGGCTGGCCAGAAGCTCCTCATCGATGCCATCTCCAGAGGGCATTGGCGCCGTGGTGCTAAGGTTCAGCAGCAGATCGTTGCCTGGTGGAGGCGGTGCTGCCGACGGCTTCGTGTCCGGATCTGGCAGTGCACTGGAAGTGGTGGCCGAGACAACTGTCGAAGTCGCTGTTGTCGAAGTCTGCTCAGTGCTGCTGGGTGTGCTCCGTCCACTGCCACCGCTTCCGCGCTGCGATAGTTTGGGTATTTGAAACTTGTTGTGCAGTCCCTTAATGAAGCCCTCCATGCTGGCGGCCATCGTGGGTGATGCATATTGTAGAATGGTCATCATGTCGGTGTGATGATCAAATCGAGGCGGCGGCTGGGACATGGAGCCAGTGAGAGCTGCTGGAGACACGGCTCCCGATGAGCTCCCTCCACCCGCTGATGAACCTCCTTTGCGTGGAGCACCTCCTGCTCCACCGCCGCTGCTGGCTAAGCCTCCCATACTGGGACGACGCCTGGGGGCATTGTGCTCTTGGAAGGAATTGGTACTATTGCTTTTAGTCAGCAGTACACCACCGCCGCTGGCAGATCCGCTGAGCTTGCTGCTTAAGTTGCCCGACGAGTTGGCCTTCTGAAATAGATGCTTGCTGGAGGAGGAGGCGCCGCCGCTTGTTGTCGCTCCTCCTGTGGACGCGGTGGCTTTCTTGGACGCAGGTCCACTGTTCACTCCGGGCTTGAGGCCCGTGTGCTGCTTTTTGGCGTAGCTCGAGGAGCTAGCCGAGGCTGATGCACCGCCACTCGAGCCACTACTGGGGCCCTTTGTCTTCCCCATGCCAATGCTTGATGAGCTTGCGCCGGAACTGGAGCTCTTGCTGCTCCCCGTCTTGTTGATGGTCAGCTTGAGGCCTTCCTGGCTGCTGGGTTTCACCATATACTCCGAGGATGTTCCGCTTGTGATGTTGCTTGCACCTCCGTCGCTACTGCTGGCCCCGCTAGTGGCCAAGCAGCTACTAGGTGGCGCTGCTCCCGGCTGCTGCTGTTGGAACGTTGCTGGTGCTGCTGCTTGTACTGGTGCTGCTCCCGCTGATGCCGCTGGTCCCACTCCCACTCCCACTGCCGCTGACGTTGACGGTGCTGTTCCCACTCCCTGTCCCAGTCCCTGTCCCTGTCCCAGTCCCAGTCCCGTTCCCGCTGCTGCTGCTGTTGCTGTTGCTGGGATTGCTGTTGCTAAAGCTGCCGTCGACGTCATCAAACTAACCTGACAAAGTAAGCATGGGGTGTGGTGGTGTGTGGCCGTGTGCGTGCGTGTCATGGCGGAGGAGCAAACACAAACCAAAAACGAACCGGAAGAAACACAAAAATTATAACAATCAAAAACGAGGAACCAAATTATGAAAATTGTGCAAAAAGAGTTTGTATGTTTTTGGGCAGAGAGTGGAGAAAAAAGAGAAGAGAGAAGAGAAGCAGACCCCGTTAGTAATTCGCTTAAAAATGTAATAAGCTTTTAAGTACCACTGCAAAGGCATTGAAGAATACAATACTTATTTACAAATCGAAAAGAAAGTCTTTTTAAGCCAAATGCTCTACTGAGGTCTGGTTATAATTGTACGAGTATGGAATGGAATAGCTAGGAATCATAATTTAAAATACAAACAGAATACGTACTGAGAAACAATACAGAAGCAAACAATATCACGTGCACAAACAAAAGTTTTAAATGCAGCTGCAAATACACCATTACCACCAGATCGGAAACCAATCTAAACGTGCACAAAAACTAGTCATTGCTACAACGATAACCTCGCGCGGATAATATGTTTTAGTGGAAGAAACATGCAGTTGCTGGTGCGGAACAAAGCAAACAATGAGCTCAAAACATTCGTATAAATACTCGTATCTACGTACATACGTTCTTAGTGCAGGATAAAGAAGGTTAGAGGGTTGCTTGGAGGATCTGGATTCTGGAGAGAGCCCCATAACCATAACTACATTAAGGGATTAAATAGAAAATAAAAACTGATGCAGGATATGACAAAAAAAAAGGATAATTTGTATATATATATATATTTACAAAGATTAAGCAAAGAAAAACTAACACACAAACAACTAAATAATAATTATAATTATTTCAACTACAGCAGAACTAAAGCGAATACAAATCTTTTCACAATTATATCATATATAGATACACGCTTGCATTAGTTTAAGGATACGTTTAAGGATTTAGTCTGCATTTTTTTAGGACAAGTGCTAGAGAGCCAACTACGGGTTAGGATTGGAGGCGGAGCCGGAGCCGGTGTAGATGGTGGGAGAGGGTGTGGTGTGGAGGAGCACTTATAATGAATACGGACTTACCGCGCCTCCCGCCAGGCCCTTCCGCAGAGCACTCAGTTCCAAGGCCGAAGCACCTGTCACTGCTCCCGCTCCTGCTCCCACCGTTGCCGCCGCTGCAGCCACCGCTGCTGCTCCTCCAGCTGCCGCATAGCTGCCCAAGCTGCCGCCAGCTGCCAGATGCGACAAGCTGGCCACAGATGATTTGAGCTGCTGCTGTTGTTGCTGCTGTTGGGAGGTTTTCAGAGCCGCCACAGCAGCAGCTACACTGGCGACAGACACCACACTGGCTGGAGAAACACCACCGACGCCGCCGCTACCACCGGAGGGGCCAGAAGAAGCACCCGACGACGACGAGGGTCCCGCGGCTGAAGATTTCTCCTTTTTAATGCCCGAGCTGCCGCTTTGCTGACTGCTGCTTCCGCCGGCGCTGCCGCTGCTGCTGCAGCTGCTGCTGCTGCTGCTGCTGCTACTGATGGCACTGCTCAAGGGAGGAACAGGCGGTGGTGGTGGCGGTGCTCCAACGCTTGCAAAGGAACGCACCAGACTGGGATTGGCGCTAGCTCCTGTCGATGATCCTACAGACGCTGAAGGAGGAGGGCCTACGGATGACGTTGATTTGTCACCCTTGGGACTGAGGCTAGTTCCCGCTGTGGCCGCACTCTTCAGAGTGGACATGCTCGGCTTCCCCGAGGAGCCGTGCTTGGGTGAGTGCGTCCCAAACGGCGATTTGGGACTGTTCGAGGCGGTGTTGTGCTTGGGGCTGCTGTAGACGGGCGAATGCTTGGGACTGGGACGTGCTGGGGGCACGCCAGACAGTATGCCCTGCCCGGATCCACCAGCCTTGGGTGAGGACGAGGGAGAGGAAAACTTTCTTACCACGCCCCCGGTAGCCGAGGCATCTCCCCCCGCAGCTGGAGAGTTCTGTCGGGAGTATATCTTCTCCGGGGGTCCCATGGGAGAATCATCGCGTTTCTTCTTGCGCTTCTTCTCCTTCTGTGTATCTGTGGAGGATGAACTGCTGCTGCCGGTGGAAGATGTGGAGGAGCTGCTGCCTCCGCTGCCGGCTGACGAAGACGAAGCGCTGGTGCTGCTTTCATGAGGGCGCTTCGTGGCTATACTTACCCCGGCAGGAGCTGAAGAGCTGCTCTTCTTGGACGATTCCTTGGCGGGGTCCTTGCCAGTTATCGGAGTTATGGTAATGGTAGTGGGTGCCGTTGTGGTGGTCGCACTTCCCCCGTCCCGAGTTCCACTGGTCTGGCTCTGTGCGTTTAATGGTATTATCTCTATGCCACCTGTACGCTGAACATCCACTGTTGGAACTACTCCGCCAACACTGCTTCCCACGGGACCCCCTCCTGCGCCTCCTCCTCCTGTCTTACCGTCACCTGGTATGGGAGTTATGCTGACGCAGTGCTTCAGATTCGGTGTTTTATCCTTCCAAATGTTCTTATACTTGTCGGCAATCTCATGATCAGTCGCCTTGGCCGCCGCCAGCACGGTGGATGAGCTGCCGGAGCTGCTGGAGTTGCCCGAGGACACAGGGCCAAGGGCTGATTGAGGATCCGTTTCACGCTTGAGATTTATTAGGCTGGCAATGGCTGCCGCTGCCGAGGTGGACGCCACAAAAGCATCTGCCAGGGAGCGCGACTTGGCTTCCATTTTGAGGCTGTTGATGCTGGTGAAGCCTCCGCTGGGCAGGCTGCCATCCAGCGAAGGTCCCGCTTCCATGGCAAATTGATTAAAATTATGGGCATGAGCAAGTCCAGTCCCGACTCCGCCTCCGTTGCCTGTTCCAGCTCCTGCTCCGGATCCCGCACCAGCGCCTGCTCCAGAACCAATCACACCATGCAGCTTGAACTGATGCTCCTCATCCCAACACTTGAGCAGCTTGTAGATGACCATCGGGATGGAGAGGACCTTCCGCACAGTCCGAGTCAGCTTTTGGGAGAGCACCTCGTACTCGTTGTTCAAACAATAGATGCTGCATGTGGCCTGGCCATCCTCCAGAAGAAAATCCACTGTGGCCAGCGACTCCTCATAGGGGTGCTGCAGCTCCACAGTGATCTGGTTGAAGGAAACGGCCGTCACCTCCAATATCACAGTGCTATCCATGTCTTCACCGAGAGAGAGATAGAAAAAAGAGAAAGAGAGAGCTACGCATGAAACAGAGCGTGACAGAATATATAGAAAAGAACTCACCATTGTACTGCTTCTGTTGTTCTCGCACACAGCTAGCGAGCAGCGTGTAGAAGAGGGCCTGCTTCTTCAGAAACGTCATTATCTTGGGTACCTGGGCGGGCTCTGTGAAGGGAAGGGAGGATATCAGTGTACCTTGCAGCTTGCGATTGTCCGTAAAGAAATAGCAGTGCGTCTCCTTGGGCAGATTGACATAGAGGCCTCGCTGGGTGTTCTTTATCGCCTGCTTAGAGGCGGTTTGCACAATCAAATTGAGCACGGTGGCGACTGGCGGCGAGGGTGCTGCAGCCATGCCTTCCACGCCTGGCAGACCTAGACCCTTGAGGGTTTCGTAACACACGGGCATCGGCTTGTTTAGACGCAACACATATGTGGCCGGCATCAGCATAGAGTTGTTTTGATTGAGCTGCGCATACGTGGGCAGCTCCAGTCCTGTTTGAGGATCGCGACTGAAGCTTAAAATGGGCATAATCTGAAGTTTGTTGGCCGAGGAACCCTCCAGGTTAACGGTGGCACTTAGGCCGTGGCTGCTGTGCATCACCTGATCAATGCTAAACTCGCTGCTTGCCAACTTCGATTCGCCCTCCGCGAGGTGTATGGGCGGGCAGAAGTAGGTCAGCTTCATGGGATGACCGCCGCGCCGCTGCAGCACCAGACCAACGGCAGAGCTGTTCATGATATCGTAGCTGTCACCGGTGCGGTTTTGCATCTGATGACTATAGAGACTGTAGATGTCCGTTTCCATGGCCTGCAAGGCCACAAACGCCTTCTTCTTCACTTTTGGCTCGGCATTGAGTTGGTAAATTGAGGACAGACCCTCCAGCTGGACGGTGAAGTCGGCAAAGTCTCCGGACTTTAGGCATTTCACCAATTCACTCGATTGCTGCTCTATTTTGCATTCGTGATGCACCTTGACGTCCGACAGATTACCACTGGCGTCGAGAAGAATTTCCACATAGAACATATCAGTGGAAATGAACAGAAGCTGCTGATCCTCCATGAACTTGAGACCCAATTGCCGGGACAGGCTTTCCAATCGCTCCACGAGACCATGCCTCGAGGTAACCTTGATGTAATGCTGAAGCTTGTCCAATGCCGACTGCAGTGTTGCCTTGCACAGCGGATCCAGTGCATAGTGCTTCTCAATGAAATACATTCTCACCGACTTCTTGATCTCTTCATAGGTTTTCGGCTTGTTCCGGTACTTTGCTCTCAGTTTCTCCATCATGGTCTCCTGTTGGATTTGCCTATTCTTCTCCTCAATGCTGGGTATATGACTACCAAAGCCACCTATGGAATAGTTTCCATCACATTCAGTATTTTTTTAATTTCCACATCGGCGTTATGCCACTTACCTCCCGCCCCCGCCGAGCATTTTGCATTTGTTCCACTCATCTTTTTTATGTCTGTTTTCTGCTTTTTTATAACAACTCACTCAATCATTTGTAAACTATCATTGAATCACCTTATTCTTACTATCATAGCTCTGCATATATGTACATATACACTATTCTCCGTTTTGCAAAATTTAAGCCATGACGAAAATTTTTTCAACGCAAAACAACAAAATGGCCATTAGTGTGACCGCGGGCTCATTGTCTGACCCTCAGAAAAATACCAAAATATACCGCCTCGTTTTGAAAATATACCGTAAATATACCGATGAAAAAACAAAACACTCCTCTATCAATAACCAGTTGAACAGCTCGAGCTAATCCGAGGAAAATATACTGTTCGTATACCCCATTTCTTTTTATTGATGTTAGCATCCTGCTATCCAAGCTGACTTGAAACCCAGTTAATAATGCATTTTTTCGCAAATTGGCATGTTTTTGAACTATCATGCAATTATCTGTGAAAACAGATATAGATATATGTACATACATATGTATGTACATATGTACTTATATACAAAATTTCTTTTCCTTAAAACATATTCTGCATTCATTGGAGCCTGACATGACAAAAATGTCATTCTATAATATTCTCTTTGACCCAAGGGTATTTCAAATAATGCGTTGAGAAATATTAACACTCAGAATATTTATTTTTCATTGTATAAATATGTATGTATGTTCACTGAATTGCGATGATGCATATGTGCATTTTCGGAACTAGGGCCTGCATCTGTCGAGGAAGCGTGGATAAAGACACACCTCCCGAATGTGATAGCGGTTAAGCAGCCAGCAGAGGAAACGCTCCAGGCCAAGACCATAGCCGCCATGAGGTATTGTTCCGTAGATCCTTTGATCGGTGTACCAATAGTAGGGAGTCGGATCGATGCCTTCACGCTTATAGCCGTTCAACAATTCCTCGCTGTCCCAAATCCTCATCGAGCCGCCGACAATCTCACCCACGTTTGGCAGCAAGACATCCACACTCTCGGTCAGCCGCTTGTCCTCCGGGCAGCGGGACATGTAGAATGATTTGATGGCCACGGGGAAGCGACAGAGTAGAATGGGTTCGTTGATAGTGTCGGTCATCTTGCGCTCGGGGGCCTCGGGTATGTCCTCGCCAAACTCGTAGAAGGTGCCATCATCTTTGGTCACGTTGTTTTTCTTCAGCCATTCGATAGCGGCCGCGTAGTCCATGCGACGGAATGGCTTCTTCGGTGGTTTGAAATCCGGGTTGAGCTCCATGACCAGGTGGCCATATGGCGACTTCAGCACCCGATCCACAACATCGCAGACCAAGTCCTCGAGGCGATCTAACAGATCGTCGTAGCTAATGAATGGACACTCTGCCTCAACGTGGGTGTACTCCGCCAAGTGTCGGCGCGTGCGACTCTGCTCGGCCCGATAGCTCTGGGCAATAGTAAAGACATCGCCCAGGGCGGGCAGACAGGTTTCCAAGTACAGCTGCGAGCTCTGGGTGAGGAAGGCCTCCTCGCCAAAGAACTGCATCTTGAAAAGAGTGGAGCCGCCCTCTACTTGTGTCTGTACCAGTGTGGGAGGCGTCACCTCGTTGTATCCGCGATCAAAGTAGTGGTCACGGAAGGCTTGCATCACGACGGATCGCATCTTGAGCACCTTGGAGGTGTTCTCGCCCCGAATCATAATGTGCCTGTTGTCCAGCTGCACGTCGGGAAGAGCCTCCTCGTTGAGAATTGCATCGGCTCCACCTGGAGGAGCCAGACCAATCAGCTCCCAGTAGTCCACATGCAGCTCATGGCCACCGGGTGCGATCTTCCCCGAAGGCACCGCTTTCAGTATGCCATAGAGTACCACGGAACTCTCGGTACTCAGAACCAGGGCTTGGTACGTTTGGCACAGCAAATCAGTGAGCACACATTGCAGGAAGCCGGTGCCATCCCTTAGGGTCAGGAACATCAGCGCCTTGCCCTGCCGCCGCAGTCGGTGCACCCAGCCAAAGATCTTGACGCGAACTCCCCGGAATTCCGGTCCTTTTGCGATTTTGATTTTGCGGGCCTTTGGCAAGCTTGCATCTTCTAAAATCCTAATTTTTTTCGCCTCCTCCAAGTTCAGTTGGCGCTTCTCCGCGTCCTCGGCTTCGCGGAGCTCCTTGTCAACATTCTTTTGGCCATCGCGTTGCAGCACCTTCTGGATCTTCTTTAGCTGAGACTTGGAAGCTGGCTCAAAAACCTTAGACGGCTCCGAGCTATCCACATAGATGGTTTCGTAGGGCTCCTCACTGCCCGCTAGCTGCATTGCATGGAGAACCGTCTTGAAAGGCTTGCTCTGGGTACCGTTTCCGGAACCGTCGCTTCCCCGTTTCTCAGATGTATAGATTCCACTTGCACTCATAGTCGTCGAAGTTTCCCAAAAACCACCTTCTACTTCAGAAAAATGTTTCACTCTGCACGAGTAGCTGTGCTTGAACTGCTTTTATATCTGCCTGGCGTTCTTGATAACGACTCAATATTCACGCAATAGGCATTGCAAAATTTCATCAGCCAATTGAAACACTTTTTTATATATCAGTACTTTCCCCGAAAATGTTATATGACGTCATCATGAGAGAGAGAGCACAGAGAGAACATCTGTGCATGTGTTAGTACACACGCAATATATATTTTGCCTTTTGCTATATCATTTATGAGCCTTTTGCGATATCATTTGTGAGCCTTTTGCGATATCATTTATGAGTCGTTTTTGATATAAAATAATATCAAAAGAAATATTTTTTTCGAGCCCAGAGCAGTATCACTAACCATACAGTATATAGATGTGCCAGTTCATACAACGAAAGTGTCACACACCGGCTTGCGCTATCCGTACCCCAGAGTGACGTCATCATGAGAGAGAGAGCGCAGAGAGAACATCTTTGCATGTGTTAGTACACACGCAATATGTTTCGACAAAAATATGTGATTGTATGTTTTTTCAGATTTTTTGAACTCTCTCAGGTCTGATCTGTTTTCCCAGTGGACCAAAACTTCGTAAAAGATATCGCAAACGAGAGCTAAGCGGAACTCAGCCGTGTAAAACTACCGAATTGAGGTCCGAAAACGATAAGAAAATGAATCACTAGTCGCTCAGTTTGTGGCAGTGAAAGTTTCATTTTCGGTAGCTCAAAAACGGATCTTTTGCGAGCCTTTTATGATATCTCTTGCGAGCCTTTTGCGAGCCGTTTATGATATCTCTTGCGGGCCTTTTGCGAGCCGTTTATGATATCTCTTGCGGGCCTTTTGCGAGCCGTTTATGATATCTCTTGCGGTCCTTTTGCGAGCCGTTTATGATATCTCTTGCGGGCCTTTTGCGAGCCGTTTATGATATCTTTTGCGAGCCGAAAGTAATATGAAAAGGGACGCACAATTTTTTTCATATTTTCATATTTTGTTTTTGTATTCTTTCTCTCGAGACACCGACTCGACGCTGACCGGGCAGCAGTAATTTTGAAAACCCTCATGCAATATACGAATGTAATAAACTTTAATATTTATGTGCATATGTATGTACATAAGATATTTTATAATTGAATTAGAAAATGTATGGGTATTGTCCATGAGAGTATTCAAGGTGCGACCCGCATCTAAATTTGTACTTTGCAGATTCCCGTCGAAAAGCGCGCGATTGACAATTGATTTGAAATATATGTAAAACCAATTCCATTTATATTTATGCATATTTATTTAAGTATATATATATTTTTTCTTATATTGTATATTTAGATATGTACATCATTGTTTTAGTTATAATAAACAAAAATATAAATATAATATAATATAAATATAAATATAAACAAAACGTCGAGAACCGACGGCGTTTGCATAATTTGTATAATTTATAATCAACCTGCTTAAGATAAGGAAATAAATGTGCAATTATATTATTGTAATATTTTATATTTTGTGGTATAAATCAAACAAATAACAGCTTTTATTTTGTTTCCCGCGCCCTAGTGTACCATACCCCCACCCCCTGCCCATTCTTCAATTATTTTGTGGCGGTAGGTCAGTCCATCAAAAGACCCGAAACAAGAACCAAACTCAAATTTCAGTTCTAGTGGCCAGCAATAGTAAACACACACACGCAAAGTACGTGAGAATGCATGTGCACCCATACACTAAAACATGCTGGTGGCAAAACAGATCAGACCTGAGAGAGTTCAAAAAATCTGAAAAAACATTCAATCACATATTTTTGTCGAAACATATTGCGTGTGTACTAACACATGCAAAGATGTTCTCTCTGCGCTCTCTCTCTCATGATGACGTCACTCTGGGGTACGGATAGCGCAAGCCGGTGTGTGACACTTTCGTTGTATGAACTGGCACATCTATATACTGTATGGTTAGTGGCAGTATCAAAAAAGACTCATAAATGATATCGCAAAAGGCTCGCAAACGATGTAGCAAAAGGCTCGCAAGAAATAGTTTTTGCGAGAGTTTTTTGGTTCCCATTCCCATTTTGTTCCGTAATAAAAAATTTTTTTAATTTGTAATATGAAATGAATTTAATGTATATATGTAATATGTATGAACTATGTACCAAAATTTAAGTTTTTTTGCATCACTTTTTTCTAATCTAGCCTTCCGTTGCTGAGCATACTGGAAATATTTTTGAGTCGTATGGTCAAAATCCTGATCGTCGAGCGCAAACTTCTGTTTAAATGCATCTGTAGAAAATATAAAACATATTAAAAATTGGGGAATTACACAAGCTAAAATAGTAAAACTTACTTCGTAGTGCTAAAGTGGTTCGAAGTCCTCTTACACACTTTTTGGAGTCTGGTCCCAGCCAGGAGAAAAACTTCCGATATATTTTGCCTATGATTCAATTTAACCTCAAAATCTCACGTGTCGAGCCTCTCCGATATATGTTCGGCTTTTTCTTTTGTAAGACATTTTATTTCTTTTATTAATAATGTACTTACCGATTGGCAGAAATTTCTTTTAAATGCGTAAGAGATGGTAGAGATTTTTAACTTAGCACTGCACAGTTCGACGAAAATAATTGAAATGACGGCGCAAGGAACGCACGCTTTTGCGACACAAGAAGTAGAGCTCATTTTTGGCTCGCTTGCGAGCTCGTTTGCGAGCGTTTTGCGACACAAAACCATGTCGCTCGTACACAAGCTCGCTTGCGAGCGTTTTGCGACACAAGAAGTAGAGCTCATTTTTGGCTCGTTTGCGAGCGTTTTGCGACACAAAACCATATCGCTCGTACACAAGCTCGCTAGCGAGCTCGCTTGCGAGCATTTTGCGGAACTCTCGCAAAAGGCACTTTAGTTGGTTTGCTGGGATGTTTCGACAAAAATATGTTATTGTATGTTTTTTCAGATTAATATATAATGGCACGTTAGTTGGTTTGCTGGGATATTGCGTGTGTACTAACACATGCAAAGATGTTCTCTCTGTGCTCTCTCTCTCATGATGACGTCATATAACATTTTCGGGGAAAGTACCGATATATAAAAAAGTGTTTCAATTGGCTGATGAAATTTTGCAATGCCTATTGCGTGAATATTGAGTCGTTATCAAGAACGCCAGGCAGATATAAAAGCAGTTCAAGCACAGCTACTCGTGCAGAGTGAAACATTTTTCTGAAGTAGAAGGTGGTTTTTGGGAAACTTCGACGACTATGAGTGCAAGTGGAATCTATACATCTGAGAAACGGGGAAGCGACGGTTCCGGAAACGGTACCCAGAGCAAGCCTTTCAAGACGGTTCTCCATGCAATGCAGCTAGCGGGCAGTGAGGAGCCCTACGAAACCATCTATGTGGATAGCTCGGAGCCGTCTAAGGTTTTTGAGCCAGCTTCCAAGTCTCAGCTAAAGAAGATCCAGAAGGTGCTGCAACGCGATGGCCAAAAGAATGTTGACAAGGAGCTCCGCGAAGCCGAGGACGCGGAGAAGCGCCAACTGAACTTGGAGGAGGCGAAAAAAATTAGGATTTTAGAAGATGCAAGCTTGCCAAAGGCCCGCAAAATCAAAATCGCAAAAGGACCGGAATTCCGGGGAGTTCGCGTCAAGATCTTTGGCTGGGTGCACCGACTGCGGCGGCAGGGCAAGGCGCTGATGTTCCTGACCCTAAGGGATGGCACCGGCTTCCTGCAATGTGTGCTCACTGATTTGCTGTGCCAAACGTACCAAGCCCTGGTTCTGAGTACCGAGAGTTCCGTGGTACTCTATGGCATACTGAAAGCGGTGCCTTCGGGGAAGATCGCACCCGGTGGCCATGAGCTGCATGTGGACTACTGGGAGCTGATTGGTCTGGCTCCTCCAGGTGGAGCCGATGCAATTCTCAACGAGGAGGCTCTTCCCGACGTGCAGCTGGACAACAGGCACATTATGATTCGGGGCGAGAACACCTCCAAGGTGCTCAAGATGCGATCCGTCGTGATGCAAGCCTTCCGTGACCACTACTTTGATCGCGGATACAACGAGGTGACGCCTCCCACACTGGTACAGACACAAGTAGAGGGCGGCTCCACTCTTTTCAAGATGCAGTTCTTTGGCGAGGAGGCCTTCCTCACCCAGAGCTCGCAGCTGTACTTGGAAACCTGTCTGCCCGCCCTGGGCGATGTCTTTACTATTGCCCAGAGCTATCGGGCCGAGCAGAGTCGCACGCGCCGACACTTGGCGGAGTACACCCACGTTGAGGCAGAGTGTCCATTCATTAGCTACGACGATCTGTTAGATCGCCTCGAGGACTTGGTCTGCGATGTTGTGGATCGGGTGCTGAAGTCGCCATATGGCCACCTGGTCATGGAGCTCAACCCGGATTTCAAACCACCGAAGAAGCCATTCCGTCGCATGGACTACGCGGCCGCTATCGAATGGCTGAAGAAAAACAACGTGACCAAAGATGATGGCACCTTCTACGAGTTTGGCGAGGACATACCCGAGGCCCCCGAGCGCAAGATGACCGACACTATCAACGAACCCATTCTACTCTGTCGCTTCCCCGTGGCCATCAAATCATTCTACATGTCCCGCTGCCCGGAGGACAAGCGGCTGACCGAGAGTGTGGATGTCTTGCTGCCAAACGTGGGTGAGATTGTCGGCGGCTCGATGAGGATTTGGGACAGCGAGGAATTGTTGAACGGCTATAAGCGTGAAGGCATCGATCCGACTCCCTACTATTGGTACACCGATCAAAGGATCTACGGAACAATACCTCATGGCGGCTATGGTCTTGGCCTGGAGCGTTTCCTCTGCTGGCTGCTTAACCGCTATCACATTCGGGAGGTGTGTCTTTATCCACGCTTCCTCGACAGATGCAGGCCCTAGTTCCGAAAATGCACATATGCATCATCGCAATTCAGTGAACATACATACATATTTATACAATGAAAAATAAATATTCTGAGTGTTAATATTTCTCAACGCATTATTTGAAATACCCTTGGGTCAAAGAGAATATTATAGAATGACATTTTTGTCATGTCAGGCTCCAATGAATGCAGAATATGTTTTAAGGAAAAGAAATTTTGTATATAAGTACATATGTACATACATATGTATGTACATATATCTATATCTGTTTTCACAGATAATTGCATGATAGTTCAAAAACATGCCAATTTGCGAAAAAATGCATTATTAACTGGGTTTCAAGTCAGCTTGGATAGCAGGATGCTAACATCAATAAAAAGAAATGGGGTATACGAACAGTATATTTTCCTCGGATTAGCTCGAGCTGTTCAACTAGTTATTGATAGAGGCACTAACCAACCATACTGTATATATGTACATACATACATAGATGTGCCAGTTCATACAACGAAAGTGTCACACACTGGCTTGCGCGATCAATACCCCAGAGTGACGTCATCATGAGAGAGAGAGCACAGAGAGAACATCTGGTCATGTGTTAGTACACACTCAGGTCTGGTTCTGTTTTGCCACCAGCATGTTTTAGTGTATGGGTGCACATGCATTCTCACGTACTTTGCGTGTGTGTTTTTAGAATCAACCTGCTTAAGATAAGGAAATAAATGTGCAATTATATTATTGTAATATTTTATATTTTGTGGTATAAATCAAACAAATAACAGCTTTTATTTTATTTCCCGCGCCCTAGTGTACCATACCCCAACCCCCTGCCCATTCTTCAATTATTTTGTGGCGGTAGGTCAGTCCATCAAAAGACCCGAAACAAGAACCAAACTCAAATTTCAGTTCTAGTGGCCAGCAATAGTAAACACACACACGCAAAGTACGTGAGAATGCATGTGCACCCATACACTAAAACATGCTGGAGGCAAAACAGAACCAGACCTGAGTGTGTACTAATACATGCAAAGATGTTCTCTCTGCGTTCTCTCTCATGATGACGCTTCAGTAATCTGGGGTACTGAACGCGCTAGCCAGTGTGTGACGCTTTCGTGGTATGAACTGGCACATCTATATACTGTATGGTTAGTGGTACAATATAGAAGAACATATGGATATATGTATGTGAATGATTGGTCGAAAATATGTCTTTTTGGGTAATGTTTGATATTTAAATTATAACATAGCACAAAATGTGCTGCTGGGCGCCACAGGGCTGCTAGAACCTATCGATTATCGATTAGACATCAGAAGACATCATCGCCCAGAACACAAAACAACTTGTTTACGTTATAAAAAATTTATTGACTCGACTATTAACTATCAAATTCGATGACGAGTATTGCCGGCGGTCACGGGGAGCCAAACCCCAACAGCTCCTGGTTGAGTGCACGTGGCTTTTGGCTAGCGTACTTCCTTGGTTTATTGTCGATTCACTTGATACTCTTATCTGTGCCCTTTGTCAGTATTTCTTGGGCCTGGACAGCGACTAACCTGATACACAATGCGGTAAGACAATATATCCTCCGATATATTGGTTATTTGGTTATTTTCTTAGCGTTCATTGTTTGCGCAGGCCCACTTGTACTTCTTGCACATCATTAAGGGAGCTCCTTGGCTGAGCATTGAGAACGACCCGAGCCGCCGCTGGACACATTGGGAGCAGATTGACGACGGCATCCAGATGACTACCACCCGAAAGTTTTTAACAGCCGTCCCTATTGTGCTGTATGTGCACCCGTTTCTTAATGAAATACAGTTTGGTATATTTAATCTGGCATTTCTGCTTCCAGTTTCCTGCTCACCTGTCTGTACACCCGCAATAGTACCGAGCACTTTATAGCCAACTTTGTGTCCCTGGTTGTCGTCACGCTTCCCAAGCTGCCACAGTTCCATGGCGTGCGTTTGTTCAACATAAACAAGTACTAGGAGCCAGGTGCTCAAAGCGCATTTATTTAGTTCTTACAAAGTGTACATACAAATATTCGTATATCCCTAAAGTTATACATACATATTTATGCTCTGACGACTTCGCTCTTGACCCAATCCTTATGTATGTATGTATAGAATGGAGGAGCGGGCAGAATTTTCAGAAAATTCTATATTAAAACTAGACATTAAATTGGATTGTAAATCTAAATTTAAACAAGAACTGCTTTATTTAACTTAATTGTAGAATTGCTTGTGGAATGCAAATTCTTGGATGATGTTTGGGTTCCGTCGAGGATTCCCATTCCATTCTTGCTGAATTCGGGGTCGTTGACGCAACCAGAGCATTTAGGAAGCTGATGCTTTCGCACGAAGCCGTTCATTAAATTTAAAACAAATGGCGCGCATAATTATAGCGTATTACACTGCCGCGCTCTTGCTCAATGCTCTCCTCCTAAGTATCAAGATGTGTTTTTATGGCCAAAGAGTCCACAAAAATATCGTATCAAATGATAAATTTGGTTTCAAGTAATTTTTATGTATGCTTTTAAAATTATTTTTAGATCAGCTGTTTTTATGCGTGTTGGATAACACAAAAATAAGTCGAAAAGAAGGTAACTTTTTCCAACACTAGGCCCAATTACAATTTGTTCATCAAAATGAGTGAAATGACGTTAAACAATTTATCCCAGGAAGGATCTGCGCCTGAGAACAGCTCGATAATGTTCGGTAATGTAAGCACATACATATGTATGCCAAATGAAGTCTTTTTTGTACATTGTACATTCATTAAATATATATTGTATATAAAACATGCACACATTTTAGCTAAGCAGTGACTCAGAAGATGACGTGGATGAAGTAAAAGACCACCAACTATTGTTGAAGCTTCTGAGAACTTTTCAGGCTAAAAGCAAAAGTAATGCTACGACTATCAAGGATCTGGGAGGAAAATTATTCGAAGCTGAATCACAGCTATTGATTCATAAGGAAAAGGCACAATTCTTTGATGAGAAGTGCAGGGACAAAGGTGATCTGATAGCGACGTTGAAAGCGTCAATACAAATAAACAATGAAATGACTACGAGAAACGCTGCTGCGCACGATATGAACATAAAATTAATGCAAAATCGAATTACTGAGCTTCAAAATGCTCTTGACACCCAAGCTAAAGATGATCAACCAAATTCTGGAACTATCCATGACACACAATTGGAGAAGTTCCAAGAACAGATTGCCGATTATAAACGCATCATTGAGTTAAACGAGTCTACAATATGCCAACTGAAAGAAAAAGTGACTGCATTAGAGACCAATGTCAAGCTAGATGCAACCATTATCGAAAACAAGAATCAGGAACTCGCCCAAGTAACTAACAGTATAAGTACGGCCGAGTCTACAATATTAAAACTGAAAAAGGAAGTGACTGCGTTAGAGACCACAGCCCAGTTAGCTGAAATCAACATCAAACAGAAGGATGAGTAATCCGAGAATATATCCTCGTGTAGAGGGTACAAAATTACAAATCTAGTGTCCACTAAATTAATTGAAATTACTGGCTTCGCACCCTTTGCCGCCCCATTTAAGGATATTCCATGTATAAATGGCAATGGCTGGATGGTCGTGCAAAGACGTTTCGATGGAAGTGTGAATTTTTCTGAGGGCTCGTATATTGATGGTTTTGGTTCTTTAGCTGGAGAGTTTTGGCTTGGCTTGGAGAAATTGTATATATTAACAAATATTACTCCTCATATGCTGCACATTCAACTCGTTGATTTCGATGATAATACATGGTACGCAGAATATGACCACTTCGTTGTTGGCAACAAAATATGTGGCTACAACTTAGGTAACCTCGGGTACTACTCAGGAGACGCTGGTGATGCACTGCGAAATCATTTGTATAAAGGTTTCAATAAGTGGTGGATGTATAACAAAGAAGTTCAAGACGGGTGGTAAGCAATTTGGCTGCATATCCTGTACTGGTACTTATATTTACTGATAATTTACTGTATTTTCAGTAATTTGAATGGAAAATTTTATGCATCGACGAGTCGGAATCGGAATACCAAGGATGGCATTTATTGGGGTACAAGAGGAAACCTCAAATCTTGTACAATGTTGCTAAAATCTATATTTATTTAAGGGACATTGTACATATAACAGTCAATCTAAGAGCTTATAAAAATTTTTTTTATACAATCTTTAAATAAATAGCTCATGAATATTTTGGAATCTATTAACATTGGAAGGGGATCACAAAGGTGGGCCAGCAGCTCCGATTATAAATATGTATGTAAACTTTGAACGACAAACCCAGCCGCGCCCCCAAGGAAATAGATTGTCTGTGCATGTGTGAACTACAGATACACATCACATCCATTACGTTGAGGCATCGGCCACAGGCAGCAATAAAAAGCGTTGGCACTGCAATCACAATCAGTTTTGTTGGCGTCGTCCGAGAACGTTGTTGGCGTAGTCTGCGTCTGGTGCCCTATTTGACTTTGCGGAAGGTGTTCGCGACCTCAACGACTTTGGAGACGAGAACGACATAATCAGTAGGCAAGGTGTGTCAAAGCGGATCAACGTCGACCTGGCAGCAAATGTAAATTGTTTGTGAAAGGGAAATCAACCCTATAAGATATTCCAGCTGAGAAGACCCGATCACATATCCACAATGCCGATCACACTGGAGGAGGAGATCTTTGGCCTGGCCGTTAATCCCTTCACAAAGGCACCCGAGATGGTGCGCCGCTACACGCTGACCAACTCGAACCGGATGTCCATTTCGGTGATTCAACTGGGCGCCATCATCCAGAGCGTACGAATGCCGGATGCCTATGAGAAGGTCGATGACATCTGCTTGGGATTCGATGACATTGCGAGCTACGTGGCTACCAAAGGGGCCTACATTGGCGGGACCCTCGGACGGGTCGCTAACCGAGTGGCGAACGGCGAATACGTGGTGGGTGAGACAAAGGTCGAGCTGACCAAGAACTTCCAGAACAAGTACCAGCTGCACGGCGGCCTTGTGGGCTTCGACAGCGTCATATGGGAGGTGGTGCAGAAGACGGAGGACGGCATTGTCTTTCGCCATGTCTCGGCGCATGGCCACGAGGGCTACCCGGGCACACTGACTTGCCTCATTACCTACTGGCTGGACAACCAGAATCGCATTGGCGTGCAATTCGAGGCCACCACCGACAGAAAAACCGTTGTTAATATCTCCAATCATGCGTACTTCAACCTGGCCGGCCACAGCGCTGGGCCCAAGGGTCTGGCCGAGCATACTGTGGAGATAGCTGCCAGCAAGATTGTGGAGACGGATGATCAACAGATACCAACCGGCCAGTTAGTCGACGTCGATGATACGGTCTTCGATCTGCGGCTGCCCGTCCTGCTGGGCGACCGCCTCATGCAGTTCGGCGGGAGTCTGATCGATGGCTACGATAACTGCTTTGTGGTCAATGGCGGCAGTACGCAGCCGGGCCTGAGTATGATCGCCAAGCTTGTTCATCCTCCCAGTTGTCGGGTCATGGAGGTATGGACAAATCAACCAGGGCTGCAGTTCTACACGGCCAACAATCTGCCCAACGAAAAGAGCGGCGAGTTCCCTATGATTGGCAAGGACTGCACTCACTACGTCAAACACGGCTCCTTTTGCGTGGAAACCGAAAAGTTTCCCGACTCCATGAACCATCCCGAATTCCCTTCGATTTTTCTGGAGCCCGGCGAAAAATACCAGCATGAGGTCATGTACTGGTTCAAGGTGGAGGAGTCCTGGAAGTGCTGTTGTAACAACAAGTGAAAGCTACTAGATATCAAATAAAGCTGGATATTTTAAAGGCGATGCTCGAGTATTGTTGTAGTCGTTTTTTTCAGGTTTGGGGTCAGCACATCACCTTTGCATTCTGGTGGCAATTGTTTTGCGTCTTCATGATCAGCATGAATGGGGAGTCATGTCTGTCTGTTTGTCTGTTTTTCTGTCCGGCTGCCTGCCAACTAGTCTATCAGTTAAACCGAACAAAATATACATAAACGGGGGGGAGTCACAAGGTTGCGTCACTTAAATCTATCTAGAAGCTGAACGCGTCAAAATCGCAGAATGCGCTTTTGAACTTATTTAAAGTTACATATATTCAAAGAAAATATACAGAACGAGGGGGAACGTGCTGCTGCGGCCGCAACTCTACATTTATACCCGATACTTAGTCAGGCTCTCCTCCGCTAGACGGCGCTAACATTGAACGACAAAGAGTGTGTGCGGGAGAGACTGAACGTGTCGGGCGCTGCGTAGCCATAAGAATGATCCGATCTGATCCAGATGTGCAATCTTGTAGATATGGTCATTATCTATGATGGTGCGTGTTTAATTTTTTTGCATCTTCAAAATTGTGGGTGCAACAGATTTTTGTCTTTTGTGGGGTCGGAAATAAACTTGATTCAATGGGATATCACAGGAGCCTGGATACGAAATTTCGCTTTTTTGCTTCAGCTCTTATGGACTGTGAGAACTAGGCGTCAAACGAGACGGACGGACCGCGAACGGACGAAGGGACAGACATGGCTCTATCGACTCAGCATGGCTCTATGCTGATATAGAAAATATATATCATTTATGGGGTCGGAAACGCTTCCTTCTGGGCGCTACAGTCATCCATTTTCAACACAAATCTAATATACCCCAATACTCTTTTTGAGTACCGGCTATAAAAATATGAATAGGGCATAAAAGTCTCTCACTCCAACTTGAAGCTGAACAAAAAAGTCAAATATGTTTCCAGTACGTTAGCTTAGTGCAAGGCAAAATTTAAAACATGCTTTTATTTAAGACAAATGAGATACCACTGAGAGTAGTAAAAAAGTGATGAGTAAAAAAGGCATCAAACTAACGTAATAATTTGTTCTACAACATGTTTTCTATAACACAAAAATATTTAGGTTAAATAGGAGGCTATGGCATATAAATTCGAATTTTAAATTGAACAAAAGATGCGCTGTAAAATCTGCTAGTAGCATTTGCTTAATGTGTTCATGTCGTAGTCTGTGATATACATTTGGACTTAGTTTATATTTTACTAACCGATTCGGACCAGAGAAAGAGAAAGGTAGGAATTATGGCCAACGAGTGTAAAACGACACGCGTAGAAAGCGACACTCTTGGGTCTATGCAAGTACCTGAGGATCGTTATTATGGCGCACAGACCATGCGCTGTTTGTTAAATTTCCGTATTGGTGGGACAGAGGAGCGTATGCCGGTAAGTGTTTGGGCTGATCCTGATCAACTGTGAGCGCTTCCTGAATGATCTTTCTACGATTGTGCAGAAGGACCTTGTCCAGGCCATGGGGATACTGAAGAAGGCCGCTGCAGAGGTCAACCAGGAGTACGGACTGGACTCGAAGATTAGCGCGGCCATATCAAGTGCAGCGGATGAGGTAATTTCGGGAAAGCTCTACGACGAGGGGCACTTTCCCCTGCCGATCTGGCAGACGGGTTCTGGTACTCAAACGAATATGAATACAAACGAGGTGATCGGCAATCGGGCCATTGAAATTCTGGGCGGCACTGTGGGCTCTAAAGATCCGGTGCATCCGAACGACCACGTTAACAAGTCGCAGAGCTCGAACGACACCTTCCCGTCGGCCATACACATTGCCGTGGCTACGGCACTGGTCACGCAGCTGAAGCCCGCGCTGACCAAGCTGCGCGATTCCCTGAACAACAAGGCCACCGAGTGGAGGGACATTATCAAGATCGGCCGCACCCACACCCAGGACGCAGTGCCCATCACTCTGGGTCAGGAGTTCAGTGGCTACACCCAACAGCTGACCAACGGCCTACAGCGCCTTGACGCGGTGATGCCCCGAGTCTATCAGTTGGCCCTAGGCGGGACTGCCGTCGGCACTGGGCTGAACACGCGCAGGGGATTCGCAGAGAACTGCGTCAAGGTGATCGCGAAGCTCACCTCGCTGCCTTTTGTGGTGGCCCCCAACTTTTTCGAGGCCCTGGCCTCGCGAGATGCCATGGTCGAGGTGCACGGGGCCCTCAACACTGTGGCCACCAGCCTCATGAAAATCGCCAATGACATTCGCTTCTTGGGATCGGGTCCCCGCTGCGGACTGGGGGAGCTGTTGCTCCCTGAGAACGAGCCGGGCAGCTCGATAATGCCGGGAAAGGTTAATCCCACACAGTGCGAGGCCATGACTATGATTTGTGCCCAGGTGATGGGCAACCATTTTGCCGTCACTACAGGCGGTGCCAGCGGCCACTTCGAGCTGAATGTGTTCAAGCCGCTGATTGCTTCCAACGTGCTGCGATCCATCAAACTTCTGAGTATGTCTCTATCCCCATCACAGCCAAAACTGGAGTACAATAGACTCTCCACTTTCTTCCACTCTTTAGCCGATGGCTGCACTAGCTTCTGTATCAACTGCGTGCAGGGAATCAAGCCCAATAAAGAGAAGATAGCCAAGATAATGAAGGAGTCCTTGATGCTGGTCACTGCCCTCAATCCTCACATTGGCTACGACAAGTCGGCCCTGATAGCCAAGACAGCGCACATTAATGGGACCACTCTGAAGCAGGAAGCCCTCAATGCGGGCATCTCTGAAAAGGACTTCGACGAGTGGGTGCGCCCAGAAAAGATGCTGGGTCCCAGCTAGGCATTGTGATCCCTTGCCCAATATTCTTCTTGTTTCCCATTTGTTAATAAAGTTTATTTCAGATCTATCAGAGCACGCGGTGCCTATTTATATTTTGCATTCCTTTGGAACACCGAGAACGAAGTATCTACTGAGTATTCCTATTACTCAAAAAGCTTAGTCACTTGGGATTTGAGAGTTCAGAGTAGTTCAGTTTTTGCTGATTAATTTGGTTGATTACATAATCTATCAGCGACAACTGCGGTGGTTTATTAAATCCCCAATCAAATAACAAAACGATTAGGCCCTGTAATCTCGCTAAACACTAAGTCTTCGCTTGTATATGTTAATTCTTATTTAGTTAAGACTACCCAGACTTGAATGGCGTATCGTATTTCCAAATGGGCAGGCTAAGATAAACTGTCATATGATAGGACACTATATGAAGTTTGTTTCCATGTTAACTAGTCTCTCAGTCTCTAGCCTCAGAAATATTAATGGTTGATGGATTTCTGTTTGGGTGTGAGACTAACAAAAAGTCTCTAACAAAAAATATCACTAAGTTAGTCTTGACCTTTCTGGCATTTTTCAGCCTTTGCATTGCTTTCCAAATTCTCAGTTTCTCACCAGAGTCGTATCCAAATTTTGGTTTCCCCGCATTTTTGGTTTAGTAAAAATTTGGAGTTTTGGTAAATCTACGTAGCTGGCAGGATGGTGCGCGTGATCGAGGATATGTTCGGCATCGCTGTCAATCCCATGACTCAAAAGACGGATCAGGTGCGTCGCTTCACGCTGAGCACAGACCGGGGTATGTGCGTGTCCATTATCACTCTGGGGGCCATCATCCAGAGGATCAATGTGCCGGACGTTGACGGAAAGCTTGAGGATGTTTGCCTGGGCTACGATGACGTTGCTGGCTACTACCGCAACCAGCCGGCATACTTTGGGGCCACCATTGGAAGGGTGGCGAATCGAGTCGCCCGGGGCCGCTTCAAGCTGTGCGGCAAGGAAGTGAGTGTGAGCCGCAACTTCAGGGACAAGTATCAGCTCCACGGCGGCTTTGTGGGCTTCGACAGCGTTATCTGGGATGTGGTGGGAATACACAAAGATGGCGTTACCTTCCAGCACGTCTCGCCGGACGGCCACGAAGGGTACCCCGGAGAGGTTACCGTCAACATCAACTTTTCGCTGAACGACACGGGCTGCTTTGGCATGAGGATCGAGGCGAGGGCCAAAGCCACCACATGCGTTAATATCACCAACCATGCGTACTTCAACCTAGCCGGCCATGGGAGCGGCAGGGATACCCTCTTGCAGCACATGCTGATGATCAAGGCCCAGAAGATTGTGGACACGGACCTCGAGCAGATTCCCACTGGGAAGCTGATGCGCATCCGCAACACTCCGTACGACTTCTCCAGCCTTGTCAACCTCGGCAAGCGCATTGGACAGCTGGCCAACTGTCCGATCCACGGCTTTGATAATAACTATTGCGTCGACGTGCCGCCCAATCGTGTCCAGCTGGTGGCCCGCGTTGTCCATCCCTGCAGCGGTCGCTTTATGGAAGTGCACACCAACCAGCCAGGGGTACAGTTCTATACCGCCAACAACCTTCCTGACGAGGACCGCGGCGGGGCTCCGAACATTGGCAAGGCCGGGGCCCACTATGTGCGGCATGGCTCCTTCTGCCTGGAGACCCAAAAGTATCCCGATGCCATGAATCACGATGACTTCCCATCGATCGTCCTTAATCCTGGACAGTTGTATGACCATCAGGTGGTCTACAGATTCGGTGCCTGCCCCAAACGAATTTAGTTATGACGCTACGTTTTTTCTTGATAACAAAACAAAATCTTAAATTTGCACTCAATAATAAAGGATAAAATCATAAAACTTATTTAATTTAAGTTTTCTCATATATTTTTTGTGTAAAACTGATATTGAATAGATGCACAGATATGTATGTATATGCATATCTTTTCTGAACAGCACCAAAGACTCTGCTCACATACAGCTCGAAATGTTTGTAGATTAATAAATAAACTGGGTATTATCCAACTCTAAATTTAACCCTTAAATTTTTTGAAGAACAATCTATTTCATCCACATAATCGTTTGACGTTCGGGTATTCAAAATAACCGCCCACTTGACCATAGAATATCGGTAGAAGAAATATTGGGGTATTGCATGGTATTTTGAAGAATATTTCTGCCAGCCTGCAGGAAAATGTTTTTGAACCATAGCCATTTTAAAATATAAAACACTATAAAACGCCGATAAGTTCCGCTTATCGCACAAAAATACCGATATTTTTGTGTGCATCGATAATTATAATCAAAACTCGGTATATCTAATCTAACGGCGTGACACAACAGAAAAATATAGTTGAATAGAATACTAGTTCCGTGGATGATTTATTATAATACATCCCATATAAATATCTATACTATTATATTATATCAATAAAAAAATATATATCGATATAATTTGTCAATATATATTTAACATCCCTAATATACACCTAGTAGGTTCAGAAAAGATAGATTCAGATATTTTTTCTTAACATAAAGGGCAGAAATAGGTGTTTGCCACGTCAATAAGCGATCGATTCCATCCGCCAAGCTGTTTAATTTACCGCAAGTCTACAACAGGACGACGGAAGACAGTCGTCACAGCAGCAGCAGTAGCAGCAGAATGACCGTACGTATCCATCAGATATTTTCGCAGTGTGTATTGGAATTTTCACCACCACCACCCCCCGTACTTCTTCTATCAGGTACACGAATTCAAGGTGGAAATGACCTGCGGCGGGTGTGCCAGTGCCGTGGAGCGCGTTCTGGGCAAATTGGGCGGTAGGTATAAAAAAGGCAGAAATGAAATGGCCTAGTTTTAGGTATTAGGCTAATTAATGCCATGTCCCCTTATCAGACAGTGACAGTAAATTCTGCTGTGGGTTCTATTGTGGCAACCAACTAAAGTCTTGTTCGCAATTCTTATAGATAAGGTCGAAAAAGTCAACATTAACTTGGAGGAGAGAACGGTTACTGTCACGTCGAATCTATCGTCCGATGAACTGTTGGAACAGCTGCGCAAGACCGGCAAAAGCAGTTCGTACATCGGTGTGAAGAAATGAGACGAGTTTTTTAGCAAGTTTCAGAAATACGGCAAACTGAAACTTGAAGTCTAAACGGGACGAGACGAGGGTCAATCTCGAGTCAATCCACACATTGCCGATGTCACATGTCACACATACATACACATCGAACCATTCGAGCTGAAGGCGCTGCTTGATCCATTCGTTCAGTGATACCCAAGATTTACCCAAAATCCGATATACACATACACAACTACGAGTACACTCGTACAACACGAAGACAAAGTTTAAACTTAATCAAAAATAAATAGGAATTATCTACAAATTTACATTAGTATTCGATCTTGCCCAAGTTATAAGTAGCTCGTAGTTAGCCGACCAAAGGGTTGAATTATTCATTACTTATTACTCGAAGAAGAATTTTAAATTCAATTTAACAAATCAATCAAATCTAAATCGAAACAAAATGCCAAGATTTTGCCTCTATGCAGTATAATAATTATGAGTGCATATATTTCCAATGTAGTAGCCAATAAATGATACACTCGTATGCCAATTGCCCTCTTATGATTACACATATGTAGCTCGATAACGAATTTTAATATCAAACATTTTTTTCAATAACAAATACATACAAATATATTTAAATCTTAACTAAGCTACCAAGTCTCACATATTCAATTGAGTTTCTTACAGTGATTAAGGTACTTACTTACTGACATACTCGTACATACTTTTAGAATGTAATGAAGGGAGTGTATGGAATTCCTAGACGTTAATATTCCCGTTTCATGCCATCCCAAAAACGTTAAACACGTTCTGAAATGTGTGGCACGGAAATCGTCTTATTGCCGAGCCTAATCTCTTCCCGATCAGATGCAGGCCTTGGGGGGCCTTGGTTATAGGGCTGAGGCTGGAGCAGCGGCTGGGGATTGCTGTCTCACCGAATCAACGACAAATAGTCATGTCTCATAGGGTCATCTCTTATAACAATCGAGGAGGGAGCATGCACACGTCATAAATCTCTGGCAACGGCAAACCACACATATCAAAATGAATATTTTTCATTTTCCTTTTTTCTGTTTTTTATATTCTGTTGTATTCTGTTTTTTTTTTTCTGTGGACCATGTTCGGGGCGTAACGAAATTATCAATCAAATGCCAGTGTGGCATGCAAGGAATGCAGAACCGTCACACACAAAGAAAGAAAGACTCTGGACTAATTGAGTTTAGAGGGAGACGCAACTCAGCTCTCCGTTTGGAATTTTATGTCGCCTCTTGGTTGTTGAGAGTTGCTACCTGAAGTTGTTGCTCGGCTTAGTGTGTCGACTCCTGTTGATTTATGCCCCATGCAGCGACCCCAAACAATAAAGAACCCAGCAAGGGACGAACCAGCCTGTCACAACAAACGTCACAGTCGTAGTCACGTCCTTCCCCCTGTTCCATGTCCCATTCGTTTAGATAGCATCATAAAAGGTTCATCCCCAGTCATTGGTAAGATCAAATTATCGACTCAAGTACCGTTCAAATAGCCCACAGTAAAATAAACAGTTAGTCCAGGAAATCTCCTGTTGTTTTCCCGAGCGCTGGGTGTATTGCTGGGATAGTTGGGATTATAATTATCTGTAATTTTTGTCAGCAACTTATAAGCAGGAATCTATTATTGGGGTATACAAAGATCTATTGGTTTCTGATAAAATGTGCAACCCAATGATTTGCAATGATTGATCTGCAGTAAAAAGTAAAACTCTGCAACGCGAGCAGATCAAGTTTGTGTCAAAATTTGGCCATCACCCCCCTTTGTCTGGACCAGTCTGGTCTACCGAGTTTGTTGGTTTCATTCTTGTGCGAGTACGTTTTTTGTGGATGTTTTTCCATGCACACTTGGTGCATTGTAGACATTCCGAAAATCGTTGGCAAAATTCCTTGGCGCATGCTTTGCAGCAAGTCCTAACCAGTTGGCTGGTTCGCCTGGTCAAGTGGCTCGCAGATCGTTGGGGCATTGGCAGGACAGGACTCGACTGGTTTACCATTTGGCGGCGATCTTGGCTGAAAGCACATACGCACTCTCGCAAATATACACATATACACACACACACACTGGCACTCACATGCAGACAAAAGTGCCGCCGTTGCAACGCGTTGTCTTGGCCGCGGCTGCGGCTGTGTTTATTGTCATGAGAGATGTGAGGAGAACCGACGGCCAGAACAATGGCACACTAAACTAAACTTAGGGCCCAACTCTGGCCATAAATTCCAAAATAAATTGTGACGTTTGTGAGGGTAAGAAATCTCTCAGAGCCTGCCAGTGCACGCACACTTACGCACACTCGCCTGGCAAGGTCATTTCAATAGCAACTTCTGTGACGGATGCCGAACGAATGTTCGTCCCTGGTCTCCTTAGTTAGTCCTGTGCCCGGTGGTTCATTGAACCATTAGCAACTCCTACGCCTGGCTGGCCTGGTTGCGAGTATACGTAAGTTTTTGGGGGAACGGAACACAGTAGCCAGCATTTTGCAGTGCAAATTGCAGCTCTCTATCGTGGAGCGGGGGGCACAACACCGAAAGACGAGAGTCAAGAGACAAGAGACAAGAGACGGGGCGAGAGGCAGCCAGAGAGAAGACGACCAAACCTGTCGACGCAATGAAAATTCCTATGGCCCGAGCACTGCAGTTTCGATTCAGTTTCGAGCGTGTGCCAAGCCCACGAGCTCCGTTTGGCCATAACGAGAGCAAAGCTGGACAAAAGGAAGGCACACAACCAACGAAACAGCAGACAGGAGGCGAAAAATGCTAAGCGTAAATAGCTCATAGATAATACTCGTAGTGCCCAGGCATTTTCAGGCGATGCTAGCGATGCAATGCGATGCGAGCGCAAACCCAAAACGCAAACAAAACAAAAGACTTAGGACACGAACTGGGCGAAGGAGCTAGAGCCCCAGTCATGTAACAACAGCAGCCCCAGCCTCCGCCTCGTACGAAGGCAGCTCTCGTAGAATTTCGACTCTGAACGACCAATAAACGAAAGAAAAAAACAAGATCAACTGGTTTCGCGTCGAGCAAACACCAACAACAAAATACTCACTCAAAACGGAGAGCTCAAGACCAGTTGAGTCTGAGAGTCAGAGCCAGAGCCAGAGCCAGAGCCAGAGTTAGGCCAACAGACCAACAGACCATCAAACCATTGTTGCCTCTTCGTCGTCGTCTATTGCGCGTGCCTTCGGTCGGTCGGTGTCGGTAGATCGGTTGGTCTGTAAAAATACTTTTCCCCCAAAGAAGTTTCATTTGTGTTTTTGACTGTTCGTCGTGCAGAACGATTCTCCTGCGCTGCCAGTTCCTCTGCCCCGCGGCCAATGTCTCCCCCCGCCCACTGTCTATCACCGTCTGCATCTGTGCCTTTTGTGCCTGTTTGTATCTGTGTTTGTGTTTGCGAGCAGGCGTGTAATATGCGCGAAAAGCTGTTTTCGGTACATACAGCCTTTCCCATACAACCATAGAGTAAATTTTCCTGTTAACCGAAAACCTGACAAAATATAATAGAATACCAGAAAAATAAATACAAACAACTACCATCGAAAACGCTCTCTGGGAGCGTGTGTGTATGCATCTACATATGTATCTTGGTGGTGTGTTGGTGTTTCTCTGTAAATGTGCATTTAAATATCCGTCTGTGTAAATATGCAAAAATGGAATGCAAACGTTGATTCTGCTGGTCGCCACTCAGCTAGCAGTAGGTGAAAGTAAAGCGATTTTTTTTTAAAATTAATTGCAAGCAGGCAATTTCGTACATACTGTGCCAAGTGATCCAGTAGCCAAGTGGAGGCTGGCAGGTAAATTAACTGACTAATCACTCGGATGCTCCGACAAGGAGTGGAGTGACCCAGAGTTTCGAGTGAGTGGAAGGTGCACCGCGCGCGCAGTTGGAGACTTTTTGGATTTCGAATATCCGCTCGAGACATAGTAATAGGATACCTAGAAAAGTGAGTACTATATTAGAGTTTTATATATTTTGGGTACCTTTAACTAAGAAATAGCATATGAATTAGAAGGAATTTCGTATGGTGTATGTACTTAAATAGTTCTAACAGAATGGGTTCTGTATTATCTTCAATTCTCTATATTAGAGCAGTTTAATCTGAATATAAAATTTGGAAAAAAAGCACCCTGATCGAATGAATAAATAACCAAACATTTCTCTGGTTTCACATCCCTATCTCTAACTAGCCATATCTCTTATCTCATAAATCTCCCATTTATTTGATTTTTCTGAGCTTCTGAGGATCTCGAGACAAGTAGCTACCACACCACACCTAGAAACCGTACCCTAATGATTTGATTCTTTGGCTAAAATGTTCATAATACGATGGAATAAATTTACTAATAGAGAACATGCACAGATCGGCATAGCTGGAGACCTATGCAAATGCGGCCCCCTTACAACGGTCGGTCCCCCCAGATCAGAAATTATGCTAAAGACCCGCATGGGAAACTCTTTTTTGCTCTTTTCTTTTGGTATTTCTATGTCGCAACCCAATTTCAATTTGGATCTCAGTTTGAAGCTCGTTGGGAACTCCGTTTATTTGTTAAGAACTCTGACAAAACATTTGGCAATAAGCTAGAAATACGATGCATGTATCTGTGTATCTTATAGACACACTCTGCTCTTTTTTCCTTGTTCTGGTTTAGAGTGGACAACAAACAAGCTCGTAAATAGTCAAACACATATACACACACAAGCGAATGTATGGTCTTAGATATATACATATATATATAAATACATATGTATAGTGTTCACCCAGGGGTAAACTATTTTTATTGACTTTAGCTTTGACGTTTGACACCTCTGCGGTTTTTGTTTACGATCTGAATAGGAATCACGAGAAACAAAAAGAGCACAGCACACAAGATGGACAGGGACAGAGCAAAGGAGAACTAACTCTATTCAAAGACATACATAAATGTTAAATTTATCTAAATTGGGAATTATTGGGAAGATAATGAAGTTTTATGAAGTAAATTTACTTCTTATGCACTTAAAAG